GAAAAAGAAGAAAAAGTGCATTTGGGACGAAGTAGTGCAAAAGGCCAACGGAGGCCTGGAGGGGAATGTCAAGCAGATGTGGGAAGGGATTCGTGGAATGGTAAAAAGACCGCGCAATGGGGGGGGATACATGGGTAGCAACTTTGCGAGGTGTGAACGGTGGATTAGTCAGCAGTGGGAAGGGAAAAAGGGAAGTTCTAGCAGGACACTACGAGAAACTTGGAGTGCCCTCGGAGAATGAAGCTTTTGATCAAGTGTGTAACAAGGAGGTGGACGCATGGGCCCAGAAAGAAGAGATATCGAAGGCAGACGTTGGGAACGTAGAACTAGAAAATGAGTTCACTGAGGACGAGGTTGGGGCGTGTGTGAACAAGCTGAAGTGCCACAAAGCAGCAGGAGCGGATGGGATAGTCAACGAGTTCATGAAGTTTGGGGGGAAGGGGATGATCCAGCTGATGGTACTGCTATACAATTGGGTGTGGAAAAACGAGAATACGCCAAGTAGATGGAGGGAAGGAGTGGTTGTGCACTTGTTGAAGAACGGAGACAAGACTGACCCAGGAAACTACAGGGGGACCACACTGTTCAACACAGTAGGAAAAGTANTGGAGAAATGGACTGTGGAAACAACTGTCCAAGTACGGGATCAAGGGGAATATGTGGAAAGTGCTGNTTGGAGAAGGAACATAGCATTAGTGAGGGCCAGGCAGGTTTCCGAAAGAAGTGGGTATCTGTAGACCACGTATTTACGGCAGGGAGAATCATCCAAGGTAGAAAGAGGGCGGGAAAGCCGACGTACTGCTTCTTCCTGGACGTGAAAAAGGCATACGACACCGTATGGAGAAATGGGTTGTGGAAACAACTGTCCAAATACGGGATCAAGGGGAAAATGTGGAGAGTGCTGAAGAAGATGACAGAGTGTATGAAAAGCGCGGTCATGCTAGACGGGGAACTGTCTAAATTCTTCCATTGAGCAGGGGGTCCCACAAGGTTGCACGCTGTCCCCAACATTGTTTCAGGTATTCATCAACGATCTGTTGGAAGTCGTAGAGGAAGTCCGGAAGGGAGTACAAGTAGGGGACACGGAAACTTCAGTCTCAGGAATGCTGTTTGCGGATGATTTTGTCGGTATGTCGGACACCCCTGAGGGACTGCAACTGCAAATTGACGCGGCGAAGAAGTTTACTGATAAGTGGAGATTGTCTGCCAACGTTCAGAAGAGTGCCGTCATGGTTTGCAACGAGAACAAGGAGGAACCAGTAGAACATAGATGGAAGTGGGGGATCGAGGAGATTGCAGTAGTGGACCAGTACACATACCTCGGAGTAGAGATCGCAAAAGACTGCTCGTGGAATGCACACATGTCCAAGGTAGCGGAAAAGGGCAAATCACGAGCAGGGAAGCTGCATCCAATACTCGCAAACCGGCACCTCGATACACGCATCAAATTGACGGTTTTGGAGAGCGTAATCGTACCGCTGCTAGAGTACGCCGGAGTAGTATGGGAAGGAAATAAGAAGGTAGTGAAAGAACTCGAGGCGGCGCAGATGAAAGCAGCGAAAATCATCCTAGGATGCTCCACGCGCACAAGTAATGCAGCCGTGAGGGCAGAATTGGGGATCCAATCCCTACGGTCGGGAAGAGACGCGAGGAAGCTGACCTGGCAGTATCGCATGTGCGGGATGGGAGAGGAGAGGTTGCCGAGAATTGTATGGGAGGCGAAGTGGGCAAACAAAAAGAGGGGTAGACAACCCACGGAATGGGTCAAGGTTGTAGAGGACGTATGGAAGGGGCTCGACATCGACGAAGATGAAACGCTGGAAACGGAGGGTCTACAGGGGTTCAAGGAGAAGATATCTGTTGCTTGTGCGGAGAGAGAACATAACCTAAAGAAATAAACCAAGGATAAGGAGGGTCAAGAAGTGTACGGAATATTGAAGGAAGGAATAGGGTTCAACGATAACCTACATGCACCAATGGATGCAGGAACAAAGCTTGAGGTCAAATTCAGGACCGGGGAAATAGACCTTCGAGAACGTCCAAGACATAGTCGGACGGTAGACGAGGAAGACGACGAGTTCAAATGTGATTGCGGCTTCGAATGCGAAGACCGTGTTCATGTAGTCGCGGAATGTCCGTTGTACAAGAAGGAGAGGGAAGTGTACGTGACTGAGCTGGGAAAAATAGATGGAACGTACAGGGAGATGTTTGAGGCATGGAATAGAGAGGAAAGGACGGTAGCTGTACTGGGGCATAGGAGGTGGGTTGAAAAGGCGGGAAGGGATATCGTTAGGATAGACAGACTAGGGAAGACATTTTTTAGCCACCTTTGGCAAAGTAGAAAGGAACGATTGGCCATCGGTGATCGGTCCTGTGGGAACAATGCTCCGTCCTCTCGAGGACGCGTAGTCAATGGTCTAACTGCTATGGCATGCAAAACATAAGAGTACTTCCCCGCCCCTCCCCGGTCACAATATGGCTAGCGCACGGTGCCCCTTCGTCGATAGGCTTTCTGTTCATGTTGATGTTTGATAGGTTGCTTGGGGCTGGATACTGCTACCTACGTTCTTCGTAGATCACCCGTGCGCTGTTCGTTACAACGTGTGACGCAACGCTTGCTCGCCCGGTAATCAATCCAGTTCAGGAATATAAATATCGCTGTACAACATGTCTGCAGCAACGCGCAAAGCGCTCTACATTAATACCGAGTTGACGTGATATTGGGCCACCGGGCCTGAAGTGCAGTGTGTGAGTGCGAGTTACTACAGCCAAATTATCGAGTGACAGCGTCTCGAGGACTGGAGGGGGTCGGCATGGCCTGTTGGTCAAAGGGCGTGACAGTGAGACCTACTGCGGTACACTTGTCGGGTAAGCAACAAGAAGCCCTCGCTATTCCCTTGCAGGCGCTGTTCGTTTCTCGAGTGCAAAGGAATAGGAGGGGATCGACAAGGGGCATCGGTGTGTTCCTAGCGTCATTTCCAAAACACAGGTGGAAATGATCAGCGGAAGGCAAAAAAAAAGCCCCCCGCCGTCGCCGCCTGGTCATGATTGCACCGATAGATAGCAGCGAGGTTCACAACACCGACAAAAACAAAAAAAAACTAGAAAGCCTCCCCTGCACCCGCAAGAGGGTCAACTTGGTTCTTGGTTGCTGTTCGATGACAAAATTCAGCAAAAATGTAGCGCCCCCGTCTGCTGCAAGAGAATGCAGGGATAACCGGGTGACCCACTCCCCACCTTGATACAATCCCCATTGATTGGAAAGCAGTAAGGTTGTGCTTCTCCGAATTCCTGAATCTCGCTTTGGTTTCAATGTCAGCTAGCTTGCCCATCTCTTGTTGATGGAAGCCGCGAGATGATCCCCCCCTTACAAACATAGAACACCACGATACAGAGAGTAATGTCTGCTCTCGTTCCCACTTGCTCCACCACCTAACGAAAGTCCAATGCCGCTTGCGACTCTGCCAGACCAAGCTGGCGCTCTGGTCTGGACATGCCCCCCCCGCCCCCCCCAGCCCGCGGCAGCGGCAGCGGCACAATGTCGCAACACAACTCCAAATACCTCACATCCCTATACCCCAGACGGCTGTCCTAACCCTACTCGGTCTACCTACTGTATGCACCGGTAGGCGTTACCAACAAGTGCATTGCGGCGACAATAAATCTAGAGGAGCATCGTGAGCGGGTTCTCCACTAGGCCTCGGAAGGCGGCCAGCCACTGCGCGCTAACTGCCCCGTCCACAACCTGCACGCAAGCACGCACGGGAATAGGCAGAGATAGTCGACGGGGGTAAAGAAGCATCCTTTTGACATCGATAATAATATATTACCATTATATTTTACAAAAGTAGGACATGGCATGGGCACGGCGAATCTACGCGTGTTGTACAAGCGAACAAGCACGGGTCAAGACAGCAAATCAAGATGGCAAATCGAGCCAGCGAAAAACACTCCACGGATAATTCCGGGCATCACACGTTGCTGCATCACGCAAGACACCGCAGCAAGGCCGTGCGCCTCGTGGTCTCATGCCATCCATGAAATATACTCCTCCTCTCTAGACACTAATTTCTCGTCCCGTCTTAACCACTGCAGGTGCATCCATACACACACAAACGTGTAGTTGTCTGTTGTAGTGACCAGTGTGTCTACTAGTCACTACAATGTACTTGCACATATTGTGTGTATGGATAAGACACTCAATAGACTTGCGCCGTGGCTTAGGCAGGACGAGAAAATCACACTGGAGTTATATTGGCCTCTGTGAACTCCCCATATTCCCTCAGCGATGCTTGCTTACAAACCTTCATCACGGGAAGGATTCGGCCGCGCGTATGTTCCCCTCGTACATACGCACATGGGCAAGTCGAAAACGCGAAAAGAGGACGATTCTTTCTGCTTAAGCGAGGATCCACGGGGTCATCGTGTGAAACGCAGGACCTGTAAAACCATCTGCAGCAACAAACGGTAGTCTCGAAACGCTCACGAACGACTCCTCATCCTCACCCTGTGATCGCAGCTCAGGGTAGCCGACAGCATCGTCTCGAGCTGGTATATATCTTCGCTGTCGGGATCTGCGGGATCACAATACCCACCCGAAACATTACACGCAGCAGCATCGGACCAAAAAGATTGGGTGTTGGTTGTCCAATTGTCCAATTAAAAAGAATGCTGAAATCCCGCATGAAAGCAGGTTCGCAGGGTTCGGCAGGTGGCGTTAAACTGGTGTGAATACAATCGGATGCAGTAGTCTTCGATTCAAAACTGATTAAGCAAACATGCGGGATAAAGTCTTCAATCCGTGCTTTGGGGTTAGGGTTAGGGTTAGGGTTAGGGATAGGGATAGGGTTTGCGTGCCCCCTCCTTATTCATTTTCTAGATTCTTGAAATCCTGCGTAGGCGGTCCATCGGATGGGTGAATCCACCAGAGATAGTTGGCAAACCACTTGCCTACAAAAACACTGGTCATGAGTTTGGCAGACGGTCACCAACCGCACATCTCCTTGAGTACCGATCATCGGTTTGCGGGGCTAACCCTCACCGCGACAACCAGGCAACGTGACAATCAACCCTGCCGACAACACTGAAACCTACCACCACCAACAGAGGTATCTTGAGAATCAACAGTGCGGAAAACAGAGGAAACAGAGCCTGTTACCCACAGGGGAGCTATCGCTACATGCTGCTCGGGGAACTGTAGAAAATACAAGTTGGTCACCGTCCAACATTTGTTAATCTACCATGGACTCCTATCTGTCTTAAACTGGATTCTTGTCTTCCTCGGAAAAAAAAGAAAAACAGCGGCCGCAACAACCCCCGGACGCACCCTCGTTGGGGATAACCCTCTCCTCAGCGGCGCCGATGGCCAGCGCACACGCCTGGGGCATGCGCACGATGGGGGCGAAGTTTTTGACTCCGTAGGCCCCGAGGTTCGTCACGGTGAAGGTTCCCGTCTCCACCTTGGCAAGGGTAGCGAATGGTGCGATAGAACAGAAGTAGTAGGGTTAGGAAGACATCTAGAGTGACGCGGAAAGATGTTGGTGTACTTGGTGTCGTGGGCGCACCTATAGGGGAGAAGTTGGAGGGAGGTACAGGTATGCCATTTGAGCATCGAGTTGCCGGCGACCGCGTACACGTCCATAAAGTGGTGGCGCGCGACAAACACAATCTCCGATCGTCAAGGCGGGCCACAACCGCCGTAACTTTCCTCCTATGATTAGTATAAAGAAGCACAACCTCCACCAGGCACAACGCCATTCATCGGTTGATCGTTTGATCGGGATATACCTAGAAGAGACGCCGCCAAGCTGACTTCTCTATAAAAGGAACGCTCAAAGTAATTTTTACCCGAGTGGGTTTCAGAACAAGATAGGTTAACTCAATCATATTATTTTTCTGTTTCTGTAGGAACTCCATTTCTTCATTTGGTCGGGATATACGCCGACGAGAAGCCGCCAATCTACCCCGCCCTTTAAAAAAGGTATACTTCAATAAAATACCGAAAGAGTCGGATAGTTGGCACCGGGTGCATCGTTTTTCTGAATGTTTTTCCCTCGGGTTTTTTATCGCACCCCGGTGCCATCTCTCTGACCCCGGTGCGGAAATGCAATGAAATCATTTCGTTAAGAATTTTCAAGGCACCCCGGTGAGATCTCTCCGACTGGTGCGATCCCCGATGAAATAAACACGCACAACAGGTGTTGGATGTACGCATCCCGGTGCCATCTCCCCGACCGTTGCCATAGTATTATTGGCTATGATTGGCACCAGTGTAGGTACCCACGCAAGCACACGGTCTTGTGCACCCACACGCATGTCAGAGCCGGAAAAAAGGCGGCTAAATACACATAAAAAATACCCCGAAAAAAGCGGCGACATAGCGCATCTGAGGTGGTACCAGTACACACGGTATCAACTGTTTCCCGCTTTCGTTTCGGTCGAACAAATATTATCACATCACATCACATCACATCATATCATATAGGGTATTAACTTTAATTAAGCAATTTTTTCTGTTTGGTAGGACAAGTCGTCACCGCCTATTTCGTTTATATGGGCGACAATAAAAAAAAACAGTACCTGGTGGGGCTCGAGCTCCATAGCCTGCGCGCTGCTAGCCAAGGCCTTAACGTCGCTGGAGATAGCCTTGAGGCCCCTGCGGCCGACATCCCGCACCACCGGCGCCACCAGCCCATCCCCGACCCCCACCATAACGTTGACGTCGAAGGAGTTGTATTGTCTCACGAAAGTGTCCATCCAGGAGGCGTTTACCTGACGACGGCGAAAAGAAGCGGGGTCAGGGGGTAGGGGTTGGGGCCAACATCGAAAGACAAGATGGGCGAGGAGGTAGGTGGGACCTGTGGTGGTTGGGATCTGCTCAAGCTTCCGAGCTCGCCATGCTGACATGGGGCGGGCGCGCGACGCGCAGGGGAGTCTAGCACGACCAGCATGGGACTAAAGAAACCAACACACCGACAGGTTTCGCGGGCAACATTTTCAGCGGAGACCGCCCGCGACAGTGCCCATGTCGAGAGGTCGGGTTTCGACGAGAGAGGAGGTGGGGAATGCGGACGAGGACAGCTCGAAACACGCTCCTAGCAAAACCCAAGCGTGTAGTACGCAAGTATTCAAGACAGTCTCGTGGGGAGGGTGCAAAGGCGTGGGACACACGTAGAAGGACAGCTCAACGCACGCCCGAAGCAGGGCCAAAGCGTGTAGATAAACGGTTCAACAAATTAACACGGCGTTTTCGTGTGGGGGGTACGAAGAGGTTGAACATGCGGGGGGGAAAGCTCCGAGTACGGTCAAGGCAAGGCGCAGTCAAGGCGATATCCTGCGGAGAAGGGTACCTTAAGCTTAACATGCCTAAAGAGATGCTGTCTTCTATTTCTGCAAGTGCGTGGATATCATCTCACATCGGGGACCTTCTCCGAAGCGATGGCGGCCGCCTTAAGAAGCATGTCGTTAAGCGACAAGTGCTCGTCCTCTGGCAAGCCCTCGTTCAACGTTTCGCGCACCTTCAAGAGCTTCTCCAGCCTGACAACAAGGATGAGGACCAACAGGTTCACGCTTGGTTTCATTCTTTTCCCGTTTACATTCGTTTGCTGTTTCTCGCACCTTGAGAAGCTACTCAAGCCTACACCAACACAACACACATCATGACGGGGCGATATACATGCCATACATAGGGAACGGTAAGCTTGGACATCTAACACCAACCCAGACCTACACAGCAGTAAACTCAGGCAAGGTCAAGGGGGAAGCAGCAATGGGATTCGGTTTCCGTGGACACCAAACTCTAATCCAAACATACACAGCAAACTCACTTAAGGTCTACAGCGAAGAAACAGCAGTGGAGAACGGTGTGCTTGGACACCCAAGCTACGCAACCTACTCACTTGAGGTCTACGGTGAGGTAGTAGTGGGGAACGGTCTGCTTGGACACAGTCAGCCCTTGCGCGATAGCAAGCGCCTGTTCGGACACGGGGTAGTCCACGAAGTCGCCAGACGGGGAGGGCTGCCCAACAGCTGGCGTCGCCGGTGCCGCAGCCGCAGCCGCAGCGGCCTTGGGAGCCTCCACCTTGGGGTGCCAAGAGCCGAAGGGTGGGGTATGCATACAATATCGAGTACAACATGATAGATGGTCCGTTTTAGTCCTCCGCTTTTGAAATGGAAGCACCAGATGCATGAGTCAAGAGAGACGTTCACGTAAGCTCCGAACACTTTTCAAAGGCAAAGTTTGTTTGCTGCGCGCATGTCTATTGGAGTCATCGTGCCGTGCTTACCCCTTCGGAAGGTTGACGTAATCCTGCTAGCAGCAAATAAGGCATGGCCCTCTCACGCCCAACGATGACGGCTACGAAGAGGTTGCAACGACCCTTTCTCAAACCAGGGGAAAGACTACGCAGCAATGAATTAAGTTCGCAGAAACACTGGATCAAGAATGAAATCGACTACGTTGGCGGTTAGGATTAGGGTCAAATCTGCAACCAAATAAACACCCCCAAGGCTGGCGTGGCGGCGGCTGTGTCGCCCCTTCTCACCGCAGGCATCGCAGCGGGCACGAACTCCTTGACATCCGCAGCGATGATCCTGCCGCCAGGACCCGTTCCTGCAATGGCGGACAGCTCGTACCCCTCCGACTTCGCCAACTGTTCCAACGACAACACATAAAAAAAACACGCACAAGGAGGATCAGGAGGAGGAGGAAGAGGAGGAGGAGGAGGAGGAAGAGGAGGAGGAGGAGGAAGGGAAGGAAACAACGAGAAGCTGTGGTGAGAAAGGTGCGAGGGGGCACCGTAGTATGGCCTTGAGCAAAGCTGCAGAGTACTTGCTGGTTTCGAGGCCGCGTCGCCTCGACTACCGAGTTTTGTCGGTCAAGAGGGGCTATTTGAGCAGGAACTAACGACACGGAACCCAACCTGCCGGTGTATCGGACATATTAGAAAAAGAAACGGGGCGAGATTTGGAGTATCATATGTTTAAACCTCGCGTACGTCATCAAGCTCGCCAGGTGACGAGCTTAAGCCATGAGCACAACAAGACGACAATATTTGCAACTTCGCCATCAACCACGATACGTAGCAACTCGCAGTGTCACGCTTGCTAAACAGGCAAGAGTATTGTCGCTTCGCTTCTTTGCTCCTTGCCAGGCATGGCCGCAAGCCTGCCCACCCATGCCCCGCAACTCAGCCCCCAAGCCAAACGCCCTGACGCAACACACCGGAAACGATTTTGACGGATCCCTCAACACCTCAGCCTCCGCAACGCACGCAACTCGCTATCTTCGGCGGAGTGGAGAAACCTGCTTAGCCATCCCATCCAATCGCGACAAAAAAAAAGGAAATGTGACAGCCTGGTCCGGTGAGAACCCGGCGTGCTCCGTCCCGGCCTCGTAGACATGCGAGGTCCACGGTCTAACGACTAAGCCTATGAGCACCCCCCCCTCCCCGATAACTCACGTGCTTCGCCAACGGGCTCGCCGCCACCCTACCCCCGGGGGCCGGCGCCGCTGCCGGCGGCGTCGCAGGGGCCGCAGAGGCCGGCTCTGCCGAGACTTCCACCTCCGCCGCTGGCGCCGCTGCCGGCGGCGCGGCCGTTTCAGTCTCCGGGGCCCCCGCCGAGAAGTCTGCGAAGGCCGCCACGTCGTCGGTGCTCTCCGTGAGGACCATCATCGGGGTGCCCACGGCGACATCGGGGGTTCCGGCGGGAACGAGGATCTTGGCCAGGACGGCCTCGTCTTGCGCCTCGAAGTCAACGGTTGCCTGTGGGGGAGAGGGGCGGGGGGGAGGGGGGTTGTACTAATGTTTTGGGTGACTTGGCAGTGATGGCGTGTGTGTGTGTATTCAAAGCCGTGCATGCCGTCGTTAGACCATTGGCTACCTCGCATCCCTACGAAGCCGGGACGGAGCACGCCCTGTCTTCACCGGACTAGGTTATGAGGGGGGGGGGGGGTCATCTATTAACTGATTTTCTCAGCGACCGGGACCCGGACAGATCGTCCGGTGGTGACGGAACATCCTAGACACCACTCCAAACAAAACGAATGCTTGAGAGATCATGCCGAAATCCGCGCCAGCGGCGTTTCACAAGAGTAATCTGCATCACGCGTATCACTTCCACCATTTACGTTTCTATGCCACAAGGTACGCATAACAAGAACTCCGGCAAAATCTACACCTGCACTGTACAACGGAGATACGAAAAGAAGGATTCTCTCGAGGGGGTCTGAGCAAGCAGTCCGAGCTTCTCTAGAACAAGAACGACGTTGTCGTCGTCTCTGTAAGAGAAGCTCACGTACTAGTATGTGCAGTTACTGCAGGCGAACAGTCGGGGATCGCCCAGCTCTACAACTTTCACCACCAAAACATCGCCATCACCCTCGTGGAGCGAGAAGTCAGCCTTCGCAGGTGCCCTTGCAAACAAATGCACGACAGCACCCACCATCAACGGTCTGAACATGGCATCTACTCGTCCAAGCATTCACAAAGGTATCACGGAAGCCGAACATCAGGCTGGGAAGTCTTGGGACTACCATACTCTCCCGTCAGCCTCAACCTCGATGCGGCCTTGCCAGTGTTACCTGCATCGCACAAACCAGAGCAACTTCCAAACACCGCTGCTACGCAAGAAAGGACCAAACAAAGAGCAAAAGCATACTCTCCTCTTTCGACCACAGAACGAGACAATCCAAAATGCCACAGTAATCAAATCAGCTGCATCCACAACACCGCCAAAAGTGACTTGACTGTTGCTCGTGCATGCACAACCACAAATCGTCCACAACTACACATCGTCCGGCCTTCCTTCTCGCAGATGCATGTCTAGGCGGCTGTTTTTAACACTTTGGGCGAGGGATGGAGCTCACCTTATCGGTCTCCACCATGCAGATAATGTCCCCCGCAGCAAAAGCATCGCCCTCCTTTACAAGCCACTCCGTAATTGTTCCCGTCTCCATCGTCTGCCAACACATGCAATGGCGGCGCGGAGAGAAGCCGAGGGCAGCCAGGAGTAACGTTAGCGAGGGACAGCAGCATGGCGGGGGGCAGCCGCGATCACCACATGCCTTCGGAACCAAACCATGACCGACCATGTACTTGTAGCGACAATGGGGCAAAAAGAGCAACGCCTGGCGCCTGAAATGCTGCCCTAACGCTAATGGAAGCGTGCGATTTTATCAACCCGTGGCCTTGCTGCTTCGTATGTACCAGCTGGTTGATCCTTCTGCTGTACATAATCTACGACTATCCCGGCAATCTTGCAGCAAAGCGTTCAGCCGTGCTGAAGAAACAACGTACAATCTTAACCTTTCGTAGCAAGATAGCAGCAGCTCTGGCAAGCACGCCACCCGGTTGGTACTCTTATGTACTTACACTTGATCTGCCTGACGCCGCCGTTTCGCAACCATGTGCCTACGATGTGCGACAAACGTCTGCAACAAACGTTTACGGAAAAAATACCGGTAGACGTGGCTTCTGCTCAACATGCGCGCGTACTATGTATTACATATCTTAACCAACGTGGAACACTGCACTTCCCCGGTCCAAAAATGCCGCAATTTGAACCTACGGTAGCGGTTCCGATCTATCGCGGTGAAAACTCCGTGACACCACAACCGACAGTAGCCTACCGCTAAACAAAATTGCTACTCAGGGACCTTCCCCCAATACGGCGCGGGTCCCGAATAACGCGGTGACTTTTTGTTGGTCACTACGCTGCGATATATGTCGGGACCTCTACTGTACCCTGAACTACCTACTGCTGTTGGTAGAAAAAAAACTTACGCAATGCAAGACAACCGTAGAGGCACTGCGCATAAAACCCGTCGGCGTTTCCGTACCGGAGAGAGGGCGGGCAGGCCGACGACGTCGTGGTCCGGCAGTCCGGAGCTAAAGTGGCGTTGCGTTATAGCCTGGAAAGAGCGGCGTTCCGGCCACATATGCAGGTACAACAGGTTTCCCGACCGTCGGCGAGGAAAACACGTAACCAGGCCGCCCAGCAAATCCGCACGCAGCGAATGCGGATAGCAATTGCAGTTTGAACGATTTTAGGAAATATGTGCATTCTAGTTTATCAATGGGAATGTATACTCTCGGGTTTTCTACTACTTTTATTGAGAACAAAATGCGGCGGGTTTCGGCTCAAAAACATTCATCGTGTCTGTGTAGGTGAGGTGGTTCGCGGACGCCCCTCCCTTGAAAATGGAAAATGCCACCAAGTTTATTGAATGCTCATCGAGATTAGGCAGGGGTGTTCCAGGCGAACAATGCTCGCGCGCGTACACTGCACACTGAAAACTGCACCCACACTCACCACCGAATTCCGTGGCCTGGGGGCCCCTGCAGCCCTAGAGCTAGTCCCCACGACACCCCCGGTATGCCTGCTGGAGACAAAACGCACGATGATAACGACTTCGTTGGAAACGGGCGAGAGGGCGAGGGCTTGGTGCGTGCATGCATAGGATGCAGCCAATGCTGGCGCTACTCGTGAGATGCTCGCGCCCGAAAGTGTAACGCCACCTCTAGCTACTGCCTGTCAGTGCGCGAACGACGCCATGCACCAAGAACGATAATAGTGCCGCGATCACACAACAGCGGTGCCAGGTTATGTAGCGCCCTAAGAGTGCAACCCATCATTATTGTCCACTGAACACTTGTCACTCGTCTCCCGCACCAAGAAACCAAGCCGTCACGCAGCCTTCACCCTGCTGCGTAGACAAACCGTGGCCTGCACGATATCGAACCTCACCAAGCACTTGTGTACACCCTCTCGGGGAATGAGCTGCGCCCGAAACTACGATCAATACCGCTCATTTAAAAGCGGTTTGTCGCATACATGAGACGGCTCAAGAGCGACGGCTCAGTGTTCTTTTGAGCACAAAAATGCAACTCACGGCGGCGGCGCCGTGAGTGTTTCTTGGCCAGTTCCTCTCTCAACCGACGCTTTCACAGCGCTCGTGTTTCCTTGGGCACTCCGTCGGCGCTCCCTGGCGAAGCAATCTCTAGTCCCTACGTCTGAAGTGCAGCGGGGCTGCCTACACAGCGTCCCTCAACTTCTCTGACGCTGCCCCCAACTGCCAGGACAGAGGACCTCACCTCTCTTTCCGACCATCCCTAGCGGCGACGCAAACAGCTCCTCGACCCTGCGCGCCGTGGGCAGGGACCGAATGCATCGCCCGAGACGCAGCAACCCTCCGCGTTGCCAGCGGTGGCCTCGCTGCGAACAGCCCTGCCCGTCTCACGGCCGCAGTGTGCATGCTGCTGCAATTTGGCTACGTTGCGTTCACGAAAGTCACGCTAATGTGACCGCCGTAGACCTACCGCGAGCCACCACCTAGCGGGTGCGTTTCGTGCGCAAGGCCGGCCTTAAAGTTTGCAAAGATAGTGCGAGACTATCTCCTCCCCTGGTTGGTTCTTGTGACGCACGCGTCGCAGGGTTGGTCTTGTTTGCGGCAGTCACTACACTGCTGTCCTGCGATGCTCATCACACTGCACACGATGACCCGGCGTGCAAGGGGGGGTATCGGCGGGGGCGCCGCCGATTCATGGAGGCATCCGAATTGCGCCGCGCCATCAGCCATGCGGCGGTCGATGATGCGTACAGCAGTGCATTGCCTCGTTTGAAATTGAAATTCCCATGGTGCCCGTTGCGCTCAGGGCAGCAGCGGCAGCGATACTGCTGGGAAGGGAGAGCCGAGCTTTTGTAAGATCCTCTGCGTCTCTGCGCGTAGCGGCCAGGAATTCGTCAGTTTTCAAGATGTCAAGGTCAGCGGATGCTCTTATGAATAGCGTGAATATGTTGACTTTGCAGAGCAGTACATCAACAGCATTTACATGGGGGGAGATCCCGTGCGCGATCCAAGTTCGTCCATCAACACCAAAGCACAGAAGAGCCGGTGCTGGGGCGGCGCTTGCAGTTACCGTGTGTGATAGTACGTGCTGCTGGTAGAGGCGTCCCTGTGACCGCTTCGGTTTCCGGAGCTTCGAGGTTGAAACGTGAGGAGAGTCCCGCCGCCGCCGTCGCCGTCCTTTCCTGTTACTGGACTCTACCTGGCACACCATCCTCCTAGTATATTGACATGCTCTACCACCGTTTGCGATGGCATACTTATTGGTGTGGGGTCAATAAGCCTCCTGGTTGCCCGGGTGATACGAGCTACAGCAGTAGCTTGCACCCGATGCAGCGTTGCATTTACAAGTTTAGGTAAGACTGTGGTCCATGACCACCTGCCATCATCCGGCAGACCTTGACGTTTTCCGCGAGGTCGTGGTCGTGTGCGGGCAACCATTCCTACGCCGCCATCGCACGATTCGTACCTGGAAGTCTTCCACTTGGATTTTGCGTGCTTTCGTTCTTAAATGGCATCGCGAATGTGTGTAACGCGGCGTGTTACCTCCTCCGTTCCCATGCCTCCTGTAGCGCTCAGGCGAGGCCGCCTGCCGCGGCTGCCGACGTGGCCACAACAGCAGGAGGGACACTGCTCGCCCATGGCGACTTTATGTCGAAGTGTGACCTAGTGCTCGCCAGCCAGAGTCCAAGACGTCTGGAGATCGTGGGCATGATGGGATTGGCGGTAAGAACAACAGGGCTTCTCTCATTCGACACTAGTCCGCGCTCCTTAGGTGCTTGCAACCAACCTCAACTGCCCTGCACGGGTCGGTGTGCGGTTGATTGTTCCGCAGGATCGCGTTCGTGTGGTCGTCTCCGAGTTTGAGGAGAATCTGGACAAGTCATCTTTCAAGGACCCCAGGGACTATGCGATTGCCAACGCGGAAGGGAAAGCGAGAGAGGTATGCACACGCGGTACGACAGGGGGAGGAGAGCACAAACACACCGCTGGAGTTGAGACGTTGCATGAATCCCTGAAGCGGGGGATTGCGACTCCGCTCTGAGCCACGTAGGAAAGCGACCGCTGTGCCGGTAGCACCTCTCCAATCTCTGTGCATCGCAGCAGTCAATCGGACCGCACGTCGTGCGCGCACAGCATGCGGTGGTTGTTCCACGAAGTAGCTTGACGAGGATTTCGAGCTTTGGTGCTGGTAAGAGCGATTTGGTAAGTGGGAGCACAGCATGAACCAAGCGGGATGAGGGAGCATCGCATGGCTGTACCACGCTCTTGGCGCCGTGAAAGTCGGAAAAAAACACTTGTGCGTTTCGCTTGCTGAAACAGGTGGCAAGTCGCGCGTTGCGGAATGAAGAAGGCGAGGGAGCAGAGCCCATCGTGGTGGTGGGATCTGACACAATTGTTGATGTGAGAGCTGTCATGGCTTGTAACCGGGTGTAGGATGATGCCTACAGCAGCAGTTGTAACGCAACAGCAGTATTGGTCGAATAGGACCGCTGGGTGGTGCTGTCCTCGGTGGTTTTCTGCTCATGCTCTTTAAATATTCATCTCCGTAATGTACTCTTGTGTGGTATCCAAATGGTTCAAAAACTACTGAAGTCTTTTGCTTTTCTTGTCCAGTTGGACGGCGTTATCCTAGAAAAGCCCAGGGATGATGAGCACGCGTTCTCGATGCTCAGCTCTTTGAGCGGTCGACGACACCTGGTGCACTCGGGCGTGAGCATTTTTACCAGCAAACTGGGCAAGGACAAAGCGGCGGTGAGCTTTTGCGAGACGACCCAAGTGCTCTTCACGGCACTATCGGCCGAGGAGATTCGCGCTTATATACGGTGAGCAATTAAGCCTTCCGAATGAACGGCGTTTTGACTTTTGCAGCGTCTTTAAGTTGAGGTGTGTTGGCAAGGTACCGAGTTGTGTTGGTCACACTGGTTGTTCACTGTCATGAAACGCTCACACTGCGGTCCATACACTGTCAAGCTTGCATTCAGAATGAGACGGCCGTGTTACCTTCGCCTATCATGCTGTTGTTGTATCGACGAAATGTTGACGCAGGACACGAGAGCCGATGGACAAGTCTGGGTCATACGGCATTCAGGGGGAAGGTGGACAATTCGTGCGTAAGGTGGACGGGTGAGTGAGCATATAAGTGAAAATAATTTCGAGTGTGGTGCGTCAACGTTTGCGTATCGGTTAGAAGGTCTTTCATGATTCACGGGACGGATTCTTAATCATGCATGATTGGCTCAACTTTACACACCAGTCCGCTCTTGCCTTCTGCGCCTGTCTTCACAGGTGCTACTTTAACGTGATGGGGTTCCCGATGCACGCCTTCTCGAGACGTTTAGCAGAGGTAATCCGAGACGGGAAGGCATGATGTAGCGCTAACACCCACCTGCATGTGACATCGCTTTGAGTTTATGCGTGAGTAGTTACTTTCGCTTATGGGCGACCCTTGTGTGAATTGGGATTTTTTCCCCTCGCCGATTTCAGCCTGTGTCAGGAAAAGCCCGTTCCGCAAAACAGGACGTCAACAAAATGAAGACTAGGCTTGCGTTTTCCAAGTGTTTCGTGTAATCTGATCGTGGGAAGGACTGTCTTACTCCGGATGTGGTCTTTTGGGAACCCGTGTGAGCGTTTCGGTTTGCCGTTGTCGTCCCAAACTGAGGGTACTTACGCGTTGAGGAGCGGGTACCTTTGCTTTCGGGAGAACTTGTGTCAGAGGTTCGTGCGGTCAGGGTAGGCACGCAGCCACATCGTTGGTCTTATCTTTGAATGCATTGGTACAATGGAGATGCTGCTGCTTTCCACATAGATTGGGGAGGTGAAGTTCCAGTTTTCATCCTGAGCAGCTGTAGAAAAGGGGGCGTCTAAAAAGAAGCTTTCCGAGAACGAGGAACGTTGACGAAGTTGAGTCAAGTGATTCTCGTCCCCGGCAGGAACACCGCTGGCGGCTTCCGAGCGCATCGATGCTCCGTGGCTGGACGCTGGGTCCACAACAACCACGGCCCAAGTTCTCGGTCGATCTCGACCAAGAAACACACTGTCCGCGCTTGTTCTGTGGGAACTTAAGTTGTTTCCGTCTTGACACACGAGTGAAACGTTCAAGGCAGCAATAGCGAGATCTCTCACGATGAATTTTATTTCACCCTGAAGAGACTTCGAGAGTGTTGGCTGCCCTGTCAGTCACCTGACACCTCCAGCCTCACCCACTTCCGTCGGTTAAAATCGTTGGTAGTTCGAGACCCTTGGTGTTGCAATAATCGAACCTCGTCGTCTTGATAAAAGTGTTTCTCCGCTATGCATGCCGTCCTTCGAGGTACCTCCAAAGTATCGTGTGTTCCCCAGGGCTGCTAGTCAGTTGCACAGAGCTTCGCTTGCGTAAACCCGCAAGGAAACGTCAACGGTCAAGAGTGTTCTGCTCGAGTTTTTCCTTTTGAGGGCAACGATCGCCCGTCATCTGTATGTTTCGCACCTAAGACCACGGATGGATACTGATCGACGGGGGTGAGTGTCTCGTACAAGAATAAACTATTATTCGCAACTATTTTCGATTTGGGGCTTTTCTCCTTTGTTTCTTCCTGTCGAACGTCTCATCGCCACTCAGGGCGCGTTGTCTCCCCGTGGGAGGGGACGTGCACTCTGTCAACCGGTTTCCTCAAACAGCCTGACCCAAACAATACAATCAATCGCGTACATTCGAAGGGTACCCCGAAACCCGAATAGACACGAAGCCAAACAAGATCCCGAGGACGTTGTGGTTACTCTGGACACAAAAACTACCCAATACTCGGGAGTTGAGGAAACCAAGCACTTCCTGCTGCAGGGGGCCAATGCCCACCTTAGACTCTATCGGCGGTTCCCGCCGGTCACAACAACTTTGACGTTATCAGCTGCAGAGCTCTCCTCATGTTTCCTTTCCCCCCATCGACAACACCAAAGCTACGACGAACACAAAATAAAAATTGAAGGTGCATGGATTGGGTTGGGTTGCTGAGACGTATAGGAGATGCGCCGGACCCAGTCACGTGATTCTCCCGCCGAAACTGTTGTCTCGTTTGGCAGCAGTTGCTGTACAATCACGTCGAACAAACCCGCAGGCACCCTGGACATCATGCGCCTGTGTACAGGCAAACGTACAACTTCAACCTACCTGTTGATTTTCCTCCCTTGCAAACAAGAAATCATGTATTGATGCGCATGAAACAGCGTTCTTTGAACTCGCTCTTCAGCCACAAGCTACAAAAGCAATACTCCGTGTACAATGGCCGAATCTCACATGCCGAAATCTCTCCAACAACGAACATGAATGGCCGGTGTGCGCGCATCCCACCCTACCCCCTGACCTGACTCGTTCATATCGATCGACCCACAATAACATCTCCCTCGTAACCATTCATCGCCACCTATCGCAGGTTGGACATCACGGCCGTCGCCTTCGATAACATCAATGCTCGGCAGATCAAGCGAAAAAAAAGCGCCGCGGTCTGTCGCATACACACTTTTTCTATTCATCACTACGTACTCAGCCCGGGCGCGAGTCGACAAACAGTACGGGCGCAAACCATATTCCATATACAACATACCAGGTTTACAACAATGGCTACACCACGAATATACACCAAATTGGTCAGGGGTGGCCAAATATGGCCCAAAACGATCAAGGAATACCAACGTACACGTTCTTTGCAATAAATCTATTTCTGGAACGTGGTTGCTAGATCGCACAACTTATCGAGGGGGCTCCAAGGCGGTTGGTGACGTTGCATCTTGCCCGCTGGACGGCGCGTGACTCTTGGCGTAGGGGGATTACCCCCGCCGAGACTCGTGGCAGTAGATTCCAAAGAGATGCTCGCTGCTCTTCGGGTTCGCCGGTGCTGCACGCTTCTTTCTTCTGCCACCGCTGCCAACTTCGAGGCGCTTCTTTTACAACCTACTGTAGGGACGGTCTCGTTCGCTGACTGCTGCGAAGCCGCCGCTGACGTACGTTCCGCGCTTTCGCCTGCCGGGCTTTCGTTTTGTTGCATGTTGCACTTCTGTTCCGAGTCGGTTTCACTGGAAGTTTGATGGACAGCTGCAACGAGCCGCATGCCGCCACCGCCGGGGGCGAGTGGCTTCAGCTCCTCCTTGCCACCATCAACATCCAGATGCCCGAGCTGCTTGCGCCTGGCTTCCGCGTTTTCCCGCTCTTGCCTCTGCCGGTGGAAATCCCACGTGGACTCCTGCAGGGTGTGTGTGTGGGGGCGGGGAGAGGAAAACGAGCGATATCGGCGATCAGGCCTAGGTGCCCCAAAAAACAGTGTCCAACATAGGTCGGGCACAAGCAGCGATTCACAAAGCCCGGATTTAGCCCGTCAGAGCACTGTTGGGGTCGGGAGGCGGGGGTACAGTATTGATTAACTTCTGTGTCCCAGGTCAGGAAACGACTTGCACGCTGCGAATGAAACAAACGGGCATGAATACCTGCCACGCTGCAGTCTCTTGGTTGTCGGACATGTAAGAAGAGATGAACTTGTCGGACATGGCCTCCAAGGTTAGCGCGCATCGCACTATGCCCGGCACGGTATTGCCATAGTGTGGCCGCCCGAGCTCGTCGCACCCAGCGAACCTGCGGCAGTTTCTCCAGATCCTGTTCAGATCCTCCTGAAACTGCCCGGGTCCCCGACGCCTGGGGTATCTCTTGCCCTGGAGCTTGCTTAGCATTGTCCCCAGGTCCATCATGGCGTTACGCCCGATCGATTCCACGTAGTCCGGGTGCTTGACTATGTCAACGGGCTCACGGAAGCAGAGCGACAGGTCGTGCTTAAGCAGCTCGTTCAGGAGGTGGTCCATCGGCGCGTCTCCCGGCGGTGGTGGAGCGAACTCGTTGTCTTTACCGCGACAGCACTCCGGGCACCGGGCGATGGAAAAGTCGCCTTGCTTACCATTCAGCAGACTGCGACAATCCTGGTCCAAAGCCTCTAGCTCCACGCCTTGCTCAACCAGGCCGCGCTCCAGGCACTGCGAGCAGAAGCTGCGCGGGCATCGCTCGCACCGACCGATCGGATCACCCTCCGGCAAACTGTGCTGGCAGGAAGCGCAGTCCATCAAGTGGCTGCTTCTGTCCTCCGCACCTTCCCTGCCTTCCGTGATCCGTCGCAGTACCGGCAAAGGCACTGCCTGCGGCTCAGCCGGGGATAAGGACTCAGCCGCGGCTGGGCCACATATTTCAGTAGGAGCACTTGTCCCCTCCTGAGAGGCAGGCGTCACATCGGTGTCGACCGCTGCTTGTTGCAGGAGCTCAGATGATTTCCCGTCCTGCACGGTTGATGGTAAAGATGCTTCCTGCTGCTCCTGCTGCGTTGCTGTTGGGACAAGCGGCAACAATCCAGCACAGCACACAGGCAAACGAGTCAGGACGGGAAGGCTTGCGAAACGGTGTTTTTTGCCTCCGACGTCGACCGCCCCCCGTCAAATACCGCTTCTTGGGATTATACAGTCCAGCGAGGTAGTTTAAGGGCGCTGCAGACAACACCAACGCAAGAAGTTTTGTCCATAGCTGCAACCCGGAGGATGGAGTGAAATATACGAAGCAGCCCGAGATTTACTAAATTAAAAAACAAAAGGCATACATATGCCTGCACGAGGGAGACACGAGCAGAGAAAACAAAACGGCCTCGCATTGGAGCTTCGAAACACTACGGATCCCAACGCCGAACGTCCCATCCACGCCACGATACATATGGGCCGAAATGTGCCGAGACAATCGAACACTGTAGAAGCTCGAAACACTGAAACAACACCGGGGGCTCATGAAACTATTTTAGGATTGGTGCCCGGAACTAATAGTAACCAACAAAACGACTCTCGGAAGAAGGGAATCCACGAAACATCCGCACGTGAGCAGCACCGTTTGGTCTCTAGTACTAAACACCCTCCTATAGTTCAAACGGGAGCACTGTCGCGATAAGGTTGGGACGGAACTCTGTGGTCCGGGAAATGAACAACCTGCGTGTACCTGGCCGATCCAAGTTATGCAATCACGTACGCCGTGGCGGCCAAGCGTGGAAATGTGCGTTGGTTCATCACGTTCGGCGAAAATAAGAACGGGCAATCACGATATTGCGGAATACCGCAAACTAGCGTAATCATTGCGAATGAAGGCTTGCTTTGGGCCGTTCACGCCTCCTTGATTTTGGGTAACCCTTTTAATGGTGGTCAGCCTGCGACCACGACAGACGTGCGCGTCAGTTGGGCCAGCACAAATACCAGACGGTTCTGGCATAGGATGGATCTTCAAACTTGAACACAACGGCACAACGGATGGTTCAAGCGGCGTCACGCACGGGGTGTAATCTGGCGGTATTGAGCTGGGTTCCATCTTGCCACGAGCGGTGGAGGCTCACCTTGGTGGCGTTTGTTCCTCGTGTTGCTGGACGGGGGAGAGTTGTCGATGTCGTTGATGCTGCTGTCGGCCCAGAAATCCCTCAACGAATGTCGTAGCGTTGTTGAGGCCGCGGCAACAGAACCATCGCTATTGCCACCCACACTCTCGGCTTGTTGGACGGCGGCTGCAGCAAGTGCTGAAGAAGGAGATCCTGGCGCCAGAGGGTCCGCAGAAGGAGTTAGCTTCGCTTCAGCCGCACGTGGGAAACTTCCTGCAGCAGAATCTTCTCCGTTCCGCGGGGATAACGTATGAGGCGCTGCCGCGGTTCTCTGCGCCACTTCCGCGCTCACTGGTGCCGCCACGTCGCTCCCTCGATGCCTATCCGATTCCGCAGCTGTTGCTCGACAACCGTCGTGCGGGCGGAGATCGCACAAGGCGTACTTACCAGCGGTGCCTTCTTCGGGATCAGGATGCGCCGCCCGATGCTGAACAAGCTCCTCCGCTGGTACCGGGTTTGACGGCCGAGGTGGGCATGCGTCGGCCGAGCCGCAGGAGGTTGCTGTTGGATTGGAGATATATGGCGTCGCCCCAACCGACATAGTAGCTGCTTTGGCTGAATTCAGGTCAGCCTCTAAGGCCCTGATCTTCTTGTGCAGAACGGCGATGAGGCCCAGTTGGCCACTCATCTGAGTCTCCAGGAAAGCCACGTGATTTTGGAGGTGCAAATTATGCGATCGCGCGTTGGTGATCTCCGCCTCAAGCAATATCATCCTCAAGGCATCAGGGTGCTTGAGCCCCACACCTCCAACGTCACTACCGTCATCGCCGCCCTTTTCATGCAGCAAACCGGCGCCAGCCCCAGCCAGTGGATGAAAGG